TTCCCGTCGCCCATCATCCCCGGCCAGCTGTACCTGGGTGACTGGGGTGACGCCAGCGCCAGTGACCGCCTCAAGGAGCTCGGGATACGGCGGTGCGCACAGGGTGGGACATGGTGGGGTGGGGTGGGGTGCGGTGTTGTCCACCCCTGCTGTGATGTGATGGGCCGAAAAGTGGATCCACAGGGCGTGACCTGGGCCGAGGCAGGCAGGGGGGAGGTGCAGATATCTCTGTCTGCCTGTGTTTCCGCAGGCCGGCTCAGGTTCAGGTCCCGCTGATCTGTCGTTGCCGCCGCTGGCGCATCCGTAATGCCCCGCCGCTGCCTCTTCCTGTGCCTGTGTGTCGCAGCATCTGCACCATCCACAATCACCCTGAGAACCTGGTGGTGCCGCCTGGGATCAAGCAGCTGCGGCTGGAGCTGCCCGATGTAGAGGTGAAGCGTGTATGTGTGTGTGCGTTCATGCGAGCATGCGAGTGTGTGTGTGTCTGTGAGTGCGTGTGTACGTGTGTATGCGTGTGTATGTGTGTGTGTGTGTGTGGTCTTTGAGGGGGGCCGTTTTTGGTGGCGGGGTTGGGCATGCAACGCCTGACAGGGGAGACATGCAAGATGGCGTCAAACTGTGGGGGTGCTGCATATACAACGGGGGGCCGTGCTTTGTGTTGCGGCGCACTCCCCTGGCCCCCTCTGCTTCACCCCAGAAGTGTGGTGACCACGGCCTGTGGTATGGATGCCTCCCTGCCTTTTCAATGCCTTTACCCTTTCGCCCCTCGATGCGCGTGTGGTTGCCGGCACATGTCCTCATGCCCACATGGGCGAGCTTATCCTCCCCCCCCTACGACACTCTCCACTCAGCCCCTGCGGGCCCCTTTCCCCTGATGATCAGGGTGCTGACATCAGCCAGCACTTCAACCCGGCCTACGAATTCCTGTCGGAGGGGGCGCGCCTTAAAGAGCGTGAGCACGAGCGAAGGGACATCGCGTTCTGGCTCTGGCTGCGCCCCCTCCCTGACGGAGCATTGCCGGCAGCACTGGCCGCTCAGCAGCGCGAGCGGCGTAAAAGGCCCAGGAGGCCGGCAATCACTGAAAAGCTCACGCCAGTCGGCGTCACGGCTGCCCCCTTGGGACCCCACCCGACCCTAAGTCATCCCATTGGACCCGCTCCCCTACACACCAAAACCCCTGCGAACCCCACCACTCCCCCGACTGCCACTCCCCCATTCCCCGCACCCCCCAGCCGCCCTGGTGCACTGCGGTGCGGGCGTCAGCCGCTCTGCCGCCCTGGTAGCGATGTTCCTGATGCGGTCAACCCCGGGCGTCACCGCCAGGGCGGCGCTGGACCGCGTGCGCGCGGCGCGCAGCATGGTGCTGCCCAACGATGGCTTCTGGCGCGTGCTTTGCGCGCTGGAGGCCGGCCTCGGGGTGCCGCAGCAAGACAGGTGCGCGGACTGCACACTTGTCAAAGGGCGGGCGGGGCCGCGGGGACAGCTCAGCCGGCGCCTCGGGAAGCTGGGGGAGGGTTTCACGGGACAGGACCCATGGACACTTGTCGTGCTGGCTCTCAGCCGCAGCTCGTTGGGGTTGCAAACCAGCGCCACGAAACAGGCCCGCCCTGCCCGTTGCCCCTTGTCCGCGCGCTGCCGCCGCCGCAGGAGCGACCCGAACGCCACCACCGGGTTTGCGGGCGCTGACGCGCCCGTGGTGGAGTTGGCTAAGGACGCGGCTGGGGAGAGGGTGGCGGTGATCACGCTGGACGCGGCAGGGCGGCCCCAGGGGGCGGCGGCAGGGGGGCTGTCGGCGGCGGCGGCGGCGGCGGCTGCTGCAGCGGCGAGGGGCGGTGGGGAGGACGGCGCGGATTCTGGGCGGGGGCGCGGGCGGGAGGAGGAGGGGCGGCGGCGGGACGGGCGGCGGCGGAGCCGGAGCAGGAGCAGGAGCAGGAGCAGGAGCAGGAGCAGGAGCAGGAGCAGGAGTAGGGGCAGGGACGGGCGCGGGCGGCGGGACGAGCGGCGGCGCAGCAGGAGCAGGAGTCGGAGCAGGGAGCGGGGCCGTCGCAGCGGCGG